AGCCAGCTGGGCTCATCCGCCTTCAGCCGCTACGGCAGACAGCCGAGGTCAAGTGCTTAGAGGAGGAAAGGCTTGTTTCGGCCCACGGCTTCAGGGACGCCCGTCCACGGTCAGCTGTCACCACTGTCTGGCGCTGAAGTAGCACAGGACGTCACTGTGAAGGGTTTGTCAGAAGAGCCACTCACCAGGGCAGCCCGGTGTCAGAGAGACAGGAAGGGGCTAGAGTGCTGACCTCCCCCAAGGGCCCACCCGGTGACCTCACTTCCTCCCCGCCGTCTGCCCCTGAAGACTCCAGCCCCTCCCAGGAGCACCCCAGGCCTGGGCCCAAGCTTCAGTACACGCCTCCTGGGGGGAACGCTCCAAGCCCAAACCACAGCACTACTGATTTAAAGTGCTTTGTCCTATCGTGGCCATGTGAGTGAGCATAGGAAAATCAGCTGAAACTAACTCCTCACAAAACTTGTGCAACTTCAACAGTATAACTTTCCAGTGACTTTAATCGAAGAACTCTCTCCTACCTCATTAATCACCAAACACCACACATTTTTTTGAGCAGAGACATGTAAGAACAGGGTTCAAGTGTCTATAAAAAGTTCTTCACTGCCAATCTTCACGGCAACACTTATTAGCCAAGCGCCGTGTAACTAACACACACCACGAGCTACTCTTGTAGGCTTTCCATACACGTGTCCACCAGCAGGGCACACGCCAGTCACCAGAGGCTGGATCTGACTAGCAGGCAACCTTAGCACATGGGCTTGAAAGTGACTAGGCACGACCGTGGGGGGTGGCTGTGGTGACCTCAGTTAGAAGAGGCAGGATGATTCTTGACTAGGTGTCCAATCAGAAAATCAAGATTCTTCCCTTGCCTGTTGGTCTAACTCTAGCTTCTCCCAAGGAATCTTTCCTAGTAAGCAGCTCAGAGCTCAGAGCACGGCAGCGCAGGGCCAAGCGGCTGCTGTAGTCTCTGCTCATTGTACCTGCCTTCCCTGTACAGGGTCCTAGTCCTGACCTCATGGGGACCCACAGGACACTGCGGGCATTAGGGCTCGATCATCAACGCATGCTGTCACTTTCTATGAAATTGTCACTGCAGAAGTAGAGTTTTCAAACTCAGGGGAAACTTCCCAAGGATAAAGAGAACCATTTACACCTGCAAAGAACAATTCCAGCTTACGGCAGTGCTTGCTGCTTTCCATTTCTAAAGTCCCCTTCACACGTGTCTGCGCTCCCTGAGTAGGGCTCATCCGGCTCCTCTCAGCAGAATCCAGACTCCACCCTGCTTGCAGGAACCAGTGAGTTCTGACGCCCGGAATTCAGCCTCACCCCCAGCTCCCTGGAGCGCCTGCTGAACCCCCGCCCAGCCCCCAAACACAATACAGACATGGGCAACCCCACATGCTTCACGCACGGAAGGAGCTTGTTATGCTCTTCAGAGCAAAAGTGTTATGGGCCAGGCAAGCAGCGAATGCAGACAGTGGCAAGCCTGTGCCCCTCAGGGAAAAAACTAGGATGCAAAAGCCTGCCATCCTGGACCAGAAAACCAAACTCACCCCTCGGAAACAGGAGCTCCCACTCCACTTAATAAAACCTAAAGCTTCAAAAATGCCACAACAGTCATTTTCCCCATGCCCAATATCCCTAAACTCTGCCAAACTGGAAGACGTAATTCTTGTTTCACATTGTCCTTTCTTTTCACGGTGCCGAGGTCCAAACGGGGGTCTCACACACGCCAGGCAAGTGCTCTGTCGCTGAGCTGCACCCTCGAGAAGGTTGAATTACTTGTCACAATCCACCTAAGCTCCAGTCACCTCCCTCTGGGCTTCCTTTACGTAATCACCTTCCAACAAGCTCAAGATTGTTTTTGCCTTAAGCTTCCTCGCCTTCCCCTGCAGCTACGTGGCTGTCAGAGAAAATTATGTTCACTTCTAAATACCCCCAAACAGAGACGTGATTATTAATCCTATCCTCCAACAACTGAGCCAGCCAAGCAGCCACCTCCACCGGGGAGGACAGCACGCCTTCTTCCCCAAAAAGCTATCAAAGAGGAAACACTCGTGTCACTTCTGAAGGTGCTCCCCACTCAGACCTGAATTCAGAATAAACCCCGCTCCAAGCATACCAATAAATTAGGGTACAGTCATTTTGAGCCAAACAGCTTTAAGTGACACATTTAAACATATTAAGAATTAAGTTCTTTCAAGCAAAATAATGCCAGAAGTACAATGAAAATATTTAGGTAAACACTGGGCTAGGACTTGGGATAAAAAATAAATTAGAGGGCTTGGGAGATAGCTCAGCGGTGCAGCATCTGTCTGGCCAGAGTAAAGTCCTGAGTTCAATTCCCAGTACCAAAAATGAAACAATAAAAACAAATTACAGGCCATACCTAAGAAGCCTACAGTCTAGGCAGGTATGTCTAGAAGCATAAAAGCAAACGTAACATATTGGTGGAGAGCAAAAAAATATATAAAATATATATAAACATTAGTGTTAGGACGTATAGATTTTGGACAAACTTGATTCCGAGATCACCAGTACACGTAAATTCTGTCCCCCTATTACGTGATCGCATCCTCAGGTTGCAGTTTTGAACCTGGCCCATTCTCTGGACGCTGTCAGCGAGAAATGCTCTCTGTTCTCGGTTCTGCAGCAGTCAGGCGGAGCCGCCGCCCCTCGGGGCCACCGTGGGAAGCCGCCACAGCAGTCAGCGTCCAAGCAGGGCCGTGGGAGCCGCACGCATCCGACCTTCACCGCCCGGCAGGGGCGCCCTGCGAACGGAAAACCGGCAGCGCAAACGCTCCCTCCGCGGCCACCTCCTGGCTGAGCGGCTTTGCATAAGTCACCCCATATCCTGATCCCCGGCTGGCTTATCTGTAAAAGGGATCAAAGCAGCACTTGCGCTTCCCTGGCAAGCGCAAGGGCCTGAGTTCAATCCCCGGTTCCGCCACAAAAAAAAAAAAAAAAAGCAGCACTTCCAGAACTTTCCATGAAGCTTCAAAACCTCTGTAATGCCGGAAAGCAGCGAGTCCACAATAGCGGATACCAATCAAACAAGGACCGCCGCCGCACGCTGTCCGCACGGACAAGCCTGTCCTGTGCCCTTAAGTGTCTCCATCCCTGTTCAGTGGAACAGCGGGTGACAGCCCCTCGCATCGCGCCGAGGTAGCCGCGGGCGTCCCGTCTGCAGCGAACCCACCGCTTCGGCGCGTCCCTGCTCAGAACCCTGCACGTGTCGCCCGGCTCGCTTGCCCTCTGCCGCGTGGGTGCATGAGCAAACGTGTCCCTGCACACAGCTGTAACTGGACCTCACTAGGGGTCGTCATCTCTGTCCCCCGGAAAGCGCTCAAAAGGGCCAGGGCAGTTCAGGGCGTCCCTCGTGGAGGCCTGGTGTGGGCTTCCGCGGTGACCCCTCTGCCGCTGTCCCCAGCTCCCAGCGGGCACCGTGACTCGGGATCTTTTGTGAATGAAGACACTGCAGAGAAGCTGGGCCCGAGGCAGGCATGAGCCTAGGAAGGAAGGGTGAGAACTAGGGGAAGGCAGTCTGTGGTCTTGCTCTAGGACCGCGAAGGCGAAGCCAGTGCTGCCTGCGGCGACGCCGACTGGGAGGGCAAAGGCAGTGTGGAGCAGTCTGTGGAGCAAGGGCTCCCAGGGGCTGCGGAGCGGCTAGGGCTGTGGAGCCCCCTCTGCCTGGCACATGCACCCTGGCAGCGGGCGAGGACGTCTGTGTGTGTGCATGCATGTGCACGTGTGCCTTGCATGTGTGCACATGTGCACATGCGTGTGTGAGCATGTGAGGGCGCGCATCGGAGCCGCTCTGGGTCCTTTTTCTGAGTATCTTTAGTGGCACTGCCCTAGCTGCCTCCGTGTCCTGAACTGATTCAAAGTGTTTTCCTTACGTGATCATTTTGACTTTAAGAACCAGGATTCGCACCGTGCCAGATCCCGGGAGTACCATGCAGAAGGATGCAGCCTGCCGGTGCTCTGAGCTGCCCTCCTCTGGACCCCAGCCGGCAGCACCATTCACTGCATTTCTGATTACATCCACAAACACCCTGGGCAGGAGGACTTCCGGAATGGCTTCAGAAGGTGGCAAGAACGGTGGACCCGTGTTTGTAGCCAGAGGAAGAAGGATTTTGAGACAGATCCGTGGCAATGTACCATTTACTATAATAAATATATTTTAACTAAAGATTCACTGTAGATTTCTGTCACACTTCATAGCATGTTTGGACCCATTACTTTTCAAGTTCCTGTGCCATGTAGCTTGGCTTATGGTTAATTATGTTGTTTACTGTTGGAGAAAGTTTCTCCTCTGGGCTGAACAGGAGTGTTGTCAGCGAACCATCAGAAAAGACCTGGATGTCCCAGAGTGTACTGGAGAGATCAGTTCTTATGTTCTACTCACCGGCAGCACTAGTCAGAGCCGCTTTTGGAAACTGGAAATGAAAAACGGTGACAACCTTTTTTAAAGGTGGAAAATCCAAATTCCAGTCTCGGCCTAGGAAGCGTATTTATCCCCCTCATCCTACACTGCACAAGCCCCTGGAGGGGCGTCTCACTGGAAGCTGTGCCAGGCTGACTGACGGTTCACCCCGGGCTCCAAAGGGGACAGAAGGGAAGGTGGACGGAGAGCGGATGAAGCTTGCGGAAGACACCCTGACATGGTCTGCAGTCTGCATGAGCCCTGGCCAGCTCCAAGCAGGTGAGCAGTGGATTCCCTCCATGCCCAGCAATCACTCATGACACCTGCACCACTCCACCCAGCCTCTCTTTCATGTGACAGGTATCTCCTGGAAGTGGCAAGTCAATCATTTCTAAATCAATGAATTTTCATTCCACATAAATCACTCACTGCCTTCCTGAGGTGATCCTGAAAGGGTGGCGGGGACACCCCACCTCCAATGAGAAGTGAACCTTCCAAGGGCGACGCCCGTCTCTCAGTCTATAAGAGTTCAACCCTGGGGGCCCTGGCACTGCCACCCCTCCCCAGGGTCACCATGTCACTCTCAGTGCCCGGTCCTGTGCTGAGTCGCCGACTGTCTGCGCAGAGCGGGGTGGTGGGCCGAGCCTGGGGCCTGCCGGCTTCCAGCCTAGCGGGTGGCCAGGCGGGGAGCGCCCCGGGCCTCGGAGCCGGTTGGGCTGGAGGCTTCTCTGCTGCTTCCATGTTTGGCTCCAGCTCTGGCTTCGGTGGTGGCTCGGGATGCTCACTGGCAGGGGGCGTGGGCGCCGGTCACGGGGCAACCTTGGGAGGCAGCTTCGGAGGGCTGGGGATGGTGTTCTGGGGCAGCGCAGGAGATGGCTCTGCAGGTGTCCTCGGCAGTGGGGACGGAGGCCTTGTTTCTGGGTCAGAAAAAGCCACCATGCAAAATCTGAATGACAGACTGGCATCCTACCTGGAGAAGGTCCACGCTCTGGAGGTGGCAAACGGTGAGCTGGAGCAGAAAATACGAGAGTGGTACGACCAACGGGCAACCCGGGACCCCAAGGCCAGGAGTGATGACAGCAAATACTACCCGCTGATCGAAGACCTCAGGAACAAGGTGTGAGCGCGCCTTCCGCAGCCAGAGCCGGGGGCACCCCTTCCCTCCTCCACGCCTACCAGGCTTCGATCACTCACCCTAGAGGGTTTCCGGTTAGAGGGCACCAGGTGGACTCTCGCTCGTTGGCCTCCACCACGCGTCGCATTTCTGCTGTCTTCCTGCAGGAGGCGTGTGTTTCTCGATCTTACAGTCATTCTAGAAACATATTTTCTTTTTAAAATGCAGCTGTTGGACTGGTGAGATAGCTCAGCGGACTAAGCGCCTGCTTAGGCAACAGGGACTGGGGTTCAATCCCTGGCACCACACGCCGCAAGGGCGGCCCCTCGGGTCCGCTGAGCCACCCAGAGTGGTAGTCCATAATCCCAGTGCTGGCGAAGCTGAAAACAGGAGGATCACTACCTATGTAGTGAGACCCTGTACAAAATACATACAAAACAAAATAAAAATAAATAAAATAAAAACGCAGCTGCCTTAAACTCTTAAGAAAGCAGCACTTGGCATCTACATTTGGCCTTACTGTCCAGAATACGTGGAAGGCAGTACTATCTCACAAGCTCCAGTGTGGGGTCTTGCTCTCCCTTCCAGATCATTTCTGGTAGCATCGGAAATGCCCAGCTTGTGCTGCAGATCGACAACGCCAGGCTGGCCGCTGAGGACTTCCGGATGAAGTGAGTAGCGCGGGCGGATGAGCACAGGGGAGTCCTGCAGTGCCCACGGGTGCATGCATGCCGCATCTCCTAAAGTTCATGTGCTCCGTGCTATTTGGGTTTTGCTAAGTGCATACAGGTCATTCTAGAAAGTAATTACAAGCCAGGACAATTTGAATTCCACACTCTTAAATTATATGTTTTTATAATATATAATTTCTTGGGGCAGGGAGATAGCTCGTGTCTAAGCACCAGCCTGGCAAGCGTAAGGATCCAGGTTCGATCCCCAGGACCGCGTGCTGTGCTGCCCCCCCCCCCAGCCAGCCACTGAGACTGAGCACAGTGGCACACACCTGTAATCCCAGAACTGAGGATGCTGAAACAGGGGGAGCACTGCAAGTCCGAGCTGTGTAGTGAGACCCAGTACCAAATCCGTTATTTCCAAGGCCCCTGACCACAGCTCTTTGCATCATGCCATGAGCCCATGGTGCCACCCATGGTGCCACCCGGTGTGGTAATTGCACAAAACCCTGAGCCCGAAGTGCTGGTGTCTTGTTCAGGATCAATAATATTTTTGTAGAGGAGTTCAGTGAAATAATTGCTTTCCAACAACATGTACAGCTGAGAGATTAAGCGTTCATTCCTCTGTGTACCCCACCTCCCTACCCACACCCCACCCTCACAGGCACGAGAAATGATCCTTTTCTCCCACCTGTGAGGCAAAATTTCCCCATGGGGAGCAGCCCTGCCGATGGCCCTGCACCTGTAATATCTGGGTAAAATCCATAAAAGAAGGGCTTTGAAGAAGTAAATTGAACCCTGAAGAAAATTAAGCAAGAAAAGTAGCTATGATTTTGACTGCACTTAGGGTGCTACTTGGAGCCTCCCCTGCAGCCAGGGCTGTGTTCTCTCGGCCACCGCAACCCTGGCGTGCTGTGCTTGGGATCTGGCAGCAGGAAAGGGCCACGGCCTCCTCTCTCCAGCTGAGTAGAAAATTGCCATATTTAAAAAACAAAAAGAAAAGAAAAACTCCCCAAAGCAGAGGCTTCTCCACACCCTGCAGCAGTGTTGTGTTTAAACAGCTGCACCGAGTCATGCACCGCACAGGGGTGGGGTCTGGCGGGTTGTAGAGGCTCCCTAAGCTGTCTGCACTTGGCCCTCAGGTACGAGAATGAGCTGGCCCTGTGCATGAGCGTGGAGGCCGACATCAACGGGCTGCGCAGGGTGCTGGATGAGCTGACCCTGGCCAAGACGGACCTGGAGGTGGAGGTCGAGAGCCTGCAGGAGGAGCTGGCCTTCCTGAAGAAGAACCACGAGGAGGTGGGGGCTGGACCCTGAAGCCCCCAGGGCCAGAGATCACAATTCCGAATTTGCAAATCTGGAGTTCAAGGAGAGGACCCATCATCTCCCAGCTAAAACGCCCACACGCTCAGGCCTCTTCTCCCCCTCCCTTCCTCCCCCCTCCCCCCGCCCTCTTTCTCTGGTGTAGTTGGTATCTGCTAAGGCTTGATGAATTAGTGCACTTTCTGGTTTTGTCATTCTCAATTGTTAGGAACAGTAGGAACTATCTCAATTAGTATTTCAAAAGTGACAAAACAGAATGCTACCAATACTATGTAATACTACCCAAAAGAAACTGCTGGTTCCCAGCGTCTCTCTCTCTCTCTCTCTCTCTCTCCCACACACACACACACACACACACGCACAGACCCTGATGTGTGCCACTGTGTGTGGCACTGGGGCACAGAACACACACTGGCAGCTGGCTTCTGGCTCACCGCCCTCGTAACCCCAGCATTCAGGAGGCTGAGGCAGGAGAATCCTGAGGCAGGAGAATCCCTAGTTGGAAACTAGCCTGGACAACTTCTTGGGCATTTAGCTTTAAAACTGTAACAAAGATTTTGAAAAAAATTTTCTTTTGGAAGCCGGGAACTGGGCACCAGGCCTCCCTATGGCCAAAGTAGAGGGCCCTGGAAGGAGTAGACCCTGCAGTGGACCCTCCAGACAGGCAGAACTAATTCACTGACCTAAATTCTGCACCCAGTGCCCGGAGTAATTTTAGGGCCTGTGAAAATGGGCCTTTGTTGTTTTAGAAACAGAAAACTGTGTACATATAGGTTTCAAAGTTTTAAAATATCATATTAATATAGTTGTCTTTATATGAAGTCACTCAGAAAGGTGTGAGCTGGGTGTGGTGGCACACACCTGTCAGCCCGGCAGGAGGACCACTGAGCTCAAGGCCAGGCTGAGCTGCACAATACCCTGTCTCAGGAACACCCCCCCCCCAAAAAAAGTAAGATGCTAACACTTTTGTGGAGCTAGAGGCCCGGCAGACAACGGCCCCAGGGCCCTCGGCGTCACCAAGGATCGCACCCTTCCTACTGCTACTGCAGGAGCTGCAGAGCTTCGAGGGCCCTGGCGAGGTCAGCGTGAAAATGGACGCGGCACCAGGAGTGGACCTTACCCATCTCCTCAACACCATGAGGGCGACGTACGAGGACTTGGCCGAGCAGAACCGCAAGGAAGCGGAGTCTTGCTTCCTGCAAAAGGTAGCAGGCCGAAAGCCATGGGCCTGGCGACCCTGGCAGCCAGCCGCGCACGCTCAGCGCTCCCCCTCCGCTTCTCCACCTTGCAGAGCCAGGAGCTCCAGAAGGAGATCAGCACCAACTCTGAGCAGCTGCAGTCCGGCCGGAGCGAGGTCACTGACCTGCGGCGCACGCTGCAGAGCCTGGAGATAGAGCTGCAGTCCCAGCTCACTGTGGTAGGCCGGGGCGCACGGGGGCGCAACGTGGGTTTGTCCTCCAGAGACAGGGTTGCAGCCATCTTTGCTCACCAGCTGCCTCCTGTTTCCCATCCCCTCCCGCGTGCAGAAGAAATCCCTGGAGGACTCACTGGCGGAGACCGAGCACTACTACAGCAGCCAGCTGTCCCAGGTGCAGCAGCTCGTGGACCACCTGGAGGCGCAGCTACAGCAGGTGCACGCTGACGCGGAGCGCCAGGGCGCCGAGCACCAGCGGCTGCTGGACGCCAAGGCCCGGCTGGAGCTGGAGATTGAGACCTACCGCCGCCTGCTGGACGGGGAGGCCGCGGGGTGAGCGAGGGCGGGCCTGAGAACACCGAACTCTGGGGTGCAGCAGGGGAAATCGAAGATCTCAGGGCGCGTCGTCCCGTTTGCCTCCTAGGCAGGTCTGAAAACACAGGTGTGCTGAGCTGATGAATTACTCTCAGAATACAGCCCTCAGTCAGGACAGTTGGGAGTCTTTATGTGACCACAGTTGTGTACCCTTCTTATTCTGAGCTCAGAGCACACATCCCTTCGTTGCTGTCCTTGCGGCCCACCTCAGGTGACACCCTTGCTCTCTTCACAGTGATAGCTTGATCGAGAGCTCAGCGCTAACAGTACCGGACTCCAAATCCCAGACTCCGTCGATTGATTCATCTAAAGGTGCGCACACGAGAGTCTCTTAAAGCAAGTCAGAATCACGTTGAACGGTAGAGTGTTACTCATACGGAGTCGAGGAGAGACATTTGTGTATTCCTGCAGCCCAGAGTAGCTTGCAAAAAATTTTGGCAAGCCCAGAAGGGGAAAAAAGTCTGCATATTCTGAGAACCACATCACCTGATAAATGTTAAAAAGGAAAACTGCTCCCACGTGTGTGTAAGGCCATGGTAAACGCATTTCATTTTCATGGCATAGGCCACATTTTTAGAAAGCAGACGTCACTTTTGAAAGCTTAACTTTAATGAATTGCATCAGGCAAGCCCCAACTGAGAAGCTTAAGAGTCATCCAGCAGCCCTGGCAGGAATAAGCTTTGGAATGTTAATGTGGGCCGAGGAGGTAGCTCAGAGGCTTAAGTGCCTGCCTGGCAAGCACAGGGTCCAGAGTTCCAGCCCTGGTACTGCAAAAAATAAAAAATAAAAATAAGAGCTAATGTTTGCTCCCTTTATTGTGTTTTGATCTTCAGACCCAACTAAAACCCGAAGAATCAAGACAATTGTGCAGGAGGAGGTAAACGGGCAGGTGGTCTCGTCTCAAGTCCAGGAAATCGAAGAATTGATGTGAAACTCTCCCCAGAGCTGCCCTGCGACTTGCCCCTTAGGAATGAGAAATTTACAGATAGGAAGTATTCCCTTCAGAATACTGCGCTGAATAGTTCAGTCTCGATTTTGGTCTGTCTGATTTCCTCCAGATTCTCTCTTCCCTGTGAGCACTGTTTGTCCTTCTGAAGCAAGATTCAGTTACAAGTGTTACTGTGCCCATGTTGATCTCCCAAATAAGCCCAGGTCACCTTATGTCCTCCTGGGACCTGGAATGGGTTCCTGCTGAGCATGCTTCTGGTGATGTGGATCTTTATTTTTAATCACAGATTTGATGAAGTAGTATTATTCGATTTTAATAAAAGATGAATGGTAACAATGAGAAGTGTGTGGGTGTGTTCTTGGTTCCTAATGCACACAGCGCGAGAGAAGATTTTGAAGCAGGGTCACCAGGCCAGCCTTGAACAATGTGGCCCAGGCTGGTCTCAAACTCACAACAATCCTCCTGTTTTAGCTTCCCAAGTGCTGGGAGTATACAGGTATGAGCCATCACGCCCTGATGAGAGAAAGATTTTTATAATATTCAATAATAAAATAGATATGCACTGGAATAAAATGTTAGGGGTAAAGACCATCCTAAGAACATTCTTTTGGAGTTCTGTCTCGTTTCCTCCACTCAGGAAGGTTGCCAAGACACTGCGTTACCAGGGGCAGCGGCGGTCCTGTTCATTTTCCAGCACCTTCTCTTGGGAAGACAAATGCACTCAGAGCCTCTGTGTCACAGTGGACTGGAGACAGTGAGGAGGGAGGAGTGGTCTTTGCCCTCACAGCTGGGGGCAGAGGGAGACCCCAGGAGAGTGAGGGGTGGGATGGATGTTTGGGAGGGGAGGGATTTTGTGGCCAGCTCAGTGTGCCTGTGGGGTGGCACTGGTGCAGCCTGTGGTGTGGGAGGAATCGAAGCACAGTCCCTGTGCTTGCCTGTGTTTGCCTAAGCAGGCACTTTAGACCACTGGCTGAACTACCTTGCCAGCCAGAGACAGATTTGTTAGGGACAGTTGTGTGCTGCCCCAGAAGGCCAGGAGGTAGAGAAGAGGAGGAGCAAAGGGCGGAAACACACCCAGGGGCCCTGCTGTCTTCTCCCTTCCCTGGGGGTTCTAGTGGAGTTGAACCTGTCCCAAAAGCCAGGAATAGAAGTCAGATTCCGCTGAAGCCTAAGCCTCTGCCAAGTGAAGGTAGCGCTCGGTTGCCAAACCCAGATCCCCAAGGAGAAAGTCAGAGCAGTACTGAACGATCAGGAGCCAGGCGTCTGGTGCAAACAGCTCACACCCTGGCTCCACCACTCATGGGCAAGTAGCTTCACTCCGAGCGCCTCTGTTCCAGATCTTCAAACCTGCGACAGGGACAGGGTTGGTGGGGATTAACTGGGATCACAGGGCTTGTGTCCCATTATTGCTTACCGAATGGAACCAAAAGGGGCTAGAAGACCCCTGGGAATGACAGTGAAGAAGAATGTCACAGGACAGGCACAAAGGAGGGGCTGGCCTCGCCGATTCCAGAGCTGAGTGTTTCTGTCCTCCTTGAAGCTGACTGCACCAGCGTGCAGCATTTGAAGCCACCCTTCCCGTTCCTATTTGCAATTGTGTCAGGTCCCCCATGGCCCCCACACACTGTCACTTCTCCATAGCAAGCCCTTCCCAGTCCCGGTTGGGGTCCAGGAAGTTTATCTTTGCAATCCTGTGGAGAAGTTACGGGAACACGAGCCAGTTCATCCCAACCTACCACTTCCAGCGCAGCCCCCGGCAGGAATGAAGATGTTAAGGCACAGCTGTAGGCATGGGGAGCCCAGGGCCCAAATTCCAGCTAGGATCACAGCTATCGGAGCGAAGGCCTCGACCATGGCCGAAGCCCAGTCTTCTTGATTCATGAAGAAGTGAGTGACTCGAGGGCAAGTGCCTGTGACAGTGGCAGGAGGTAGCGAAGTGTGATGAGCTGGGCTGGGCAGGAGGCCTGAGTGCCCTGCGTATGCAGAGAGAAGGATCTGCGGAAGGAGCAGTCTGCGTAGCACAGCTGAGGTGGGGCCTAATGTTTCGGGGTTGGTGCTGCAGCTCTGAGGTGTGACCTTCCATGCCCCCGGCAGTCGTCGCCTCTTATCTCGAGCCTGGACCCCAGACAGCACGGCTCTCCGTCCTGCCTGGCTCACACACATTTGTTTGGGAGCCGCTGGGGGTGCAAGGGGGTCCTGCCCTACCACCTTGCTTCAAAGGCCACGCACCAGCTCCTGGCTGGCCCGAAGGCAGCGCTCACAGCCAAGTGAAGGAGTAAGGGAAAGCCCCGGCCAGTTCTGTACACCTCAGTACATGGAGACAGGGCCAGCGGTAGCGAAAATGGAGAGAACTGCTCTTCCCAGGAGAAGAGTCCTCCAGACGGTCCTCCACTCCCCCGAGAGGAGTTTACATCACAGACACAAGGAAATTGTCACAGTCATTTTCTGAAGCCGCCACAGACAAAGCCGCTTCCCTGATCTCTGAAGCGCCATGCATAGTCACTGTTCTAAGCAATACACATGTGTTGGTCCTCCCTGTGTCTGAGGGGCAGGCTCCAGGGCAGGAGGGCTGGCACAAGTCCCACACCTAGGGGTCCTTTCTGCCACCTCAGTACCCGCCTTCCCTGCTTTTGAAGCCTCCACCCCCACGCAGGGCTCCCTGGGGATCCCACTCTCACGGGACGTTTCCCAGGCTGGGTCCTCGCTGCTCGGACTGCCCAGGCCAGCTCATCTCACCACACTGCGCTGTAGCGACCACAGCCCGGGCAGATGACGGAGGAAGGGACAGCTGTGACTTTCCAGGTCACACATGAAGGCATCTCAACTGTGCTTTGGCCTCAGGGACTGCTAGGGGTGAAAAGCAAAGAAGAAGGAGAAGGAGAAAAAGGAGGAGGAGGAGGAAGAGGAGGAGGAGGAGG